TGTAACTCTGTCAAATAAATTAAAAAAATGGTAATGCTAGACAATTTAATTTTCAAAGAAAAATAGAATGGCACTGTTATTTTTTTGAACTGTTAAAAAAAATACTACTTTATTAATCAAATTGGTAGAAGTTTCCTCAGACAGACAGAAAGTGAGCACAGGTAAACTAGAAGGGCCACAGGGGCTACCTTCAGAGCTACCATCCTAGAGAAGATATCGATGGCAACATCTGCTGCAGTTACATATACAAAGCATTTCATAAAATATTAAGGAGAAAAGCAAGATTCATAAATAATTAAAGTCTTAACAGCTCCTAGGACCAGCTGCTTCCATTTAGTGCGGATGAAAGACATAGAGAACACCTTACTTGTGTAGTGAGATCTTACGAACCACCCCACAGTATCTTTTGGATAGATTACATTTTAGACATGTGTCAAATATGGATCCTTATATGAAAAGACAAAGTAGTAATGGCATAAAATAAAAATTCTAAAGATTTCTAAACTTCTCCTTGGGTTACCAAATCAGTGGGTTGCTTTCTGCCGTGTAACAAGAGAAATCAAACAAGCTCTTGAGAATGGAAAAGCGTATGGCATAAAACTTGGGATGAGCTCTGCTGGCACCCAGGGCATATCTCCTAGATACAACACTCTTATTAAATTTTTATTTCCACTACTTTCAATCTAAATGCAAGAGCATTGCATTTATCCCTCACCCCTGGGGAGCAAGATATTCACATGAATGAATGCAGAAAATGAAAGCCTATCTCTTTATGTGACCAAGCTAGTTCATAAATTCTTAATTCATTTCCTATTAAAATAATATAAGCTAGAGATATAATAAAACATAGTACAAGAGCTTGGAAAGCACTATGTGTCAGTGTGACCTCAGGCAAGTCATGTGAACTTGCTGAGTTCTTATCCTCTCTGCAAAATGAGCTACAAGGTAATACAAGCCTCATGGGACTCAAGACCTAAGACAGTCTAAAAACTCCTTAAACTGTTAAGTGTGTGTAAAAATATTAGCTTTTTGTTACAACTATATGTGCATCTGTTTTATAAAACCAGGCTAGTATATCCAATCTAACTTACTCTTTTTTTTTTTTGACAGGCAGAGTGGACAGTGAGAGAGAGAGACAGAGACAAAGGTCTTCCTTTTGCCGTTGGTTCACCCTCCAATGGCCGCCGCGGCCGGCGTGCTGCGGCCGGCGCACCGCGCTGATCCGATGGCAGGAGCCAGGAGCCAGGTGCTTTTCCTGGTCTCCCATGGGGTGCAGGGCCCAAGCACCTGGGCCATCCTCCACTGCACTCCCTGGCCACAGCAGAGAGCTGGCCTGGAAGAGGGGCAACCAGGACAGAATCCGGCGCCCCGACTGGGACTAGAACCCGGGGTGCCGGCGCCACTAGGCGGAGGATTAGCCTAGTGAGCCACGGCGCCGGCCCTAACTTACTCTTAGAAAATAAAATTTCATACATGAAATCCATTCCTTTATATACATTTTTAAAAAGTTACAAAAAGAAAGAAAAGTGAGGCCTGGTATAAAAACAGGGACACAGGATCTGTCTGTGCTACTCCACCAAGTCTAGTGTACAGCTGGGCAGTATTATTTTAATTAAGAACTCTCCATACATTTGAAGTAATTAACCAGTTACTCATATTTGATTATTATTTTTTGACTGAGAGTTTATTTGACCTGGAGCAGTTACCAACTTCAAACATTTCATTTTATTAAAGCTAAATGCTTTTCTTTTTGTGTCAAAGCTAAATTTTTTTCTCTTTGATGAGCCAATACACCATAATATTGAAATATTATGATGATTCTGTTTTTGGCAACTTGTTCAAGAAATGCTACATTATGTCAAGCACTGTGGCGTAGTGGGTTAAGCCTCGCCTGAGGTGCCAGAATCCCATATGGGCACCGGGTTCATGTCCTGGCTGCACCTCTTCCAACCCAGCTCTCTGCTACGGCCTGAAAAAGCAGTAGAAGATGGCCCAAGTAGTTGGGCTTCTGCACCCACATGGGAGTCCCGGAAGAAGCTCTTTGCCTTGGATCAGCTTAGCTCCAGACATTACAGCCATTTGGAAGACACCGCTTTTTCTCTCTCTCTCTTTCTGTCTCTCTTTCAAATAAATAAAAAATAAATAAAAATAAATCTAAAAAAATTGGGCATTTTTTTTCTGAAATGCACATTTAAACCTCAAGCTTTTTATAATTTTTTCCTTAATGATATCTAAATTACTTTGTGTATTTACGATACAAGGCAAAAATCTATTTTTTTTTTCCATCTGGAGAGCCAATTATCCAGCAAAATTTATTGAAGTATTTATTATGTAATAACAATTTTTGTATCTTTATCATCTGTCAAGTATTTAAATATACATATAATTCTTGTTTCTTTCCTACAATATATCATAATGCTTAATTATAGCTTAAGAATACTTTAAAACAAATATTGATATTTCATATGTCTTGCCCCTATAATATCTTATTTCCTCAAGATTTCATTGGTAATTGTTGGTCCTAATTCTTGCATATAAACTATTTTTTTAAAGATCTTTTTATTATTTTATTTGAGAGGTAAAGTTACAGACACTGAGAGAGACAGAAACAGAAAGAAACCTCTTCTACCTGCCAGTTCATTCCTCAAATGGCCACAACGGCCAGAGGGCAGCTGAGCCGACCGAAAGCCAGGAGCCAGGAGCCTCCTCTGGGACTCCTACATGGATGCAGGGGCTCAGGCAGTTAGGCCATCCTCCACTGCCCTCCTAGGCCATAAGAAGAGCAGGATTGGAAGAGGAGCAGCCACGACATGAACCGGTGCCCACATGGGATGCTGGTGCCACAGGTGGAGGCCCAGCCCACAACACCACAGTGCCAGCCCCTGTCAGAACAGAGAACTGAACAAGATTTTCTTCAGTTTCAGTTATAAATCTCGTATCTTTTTATAACTGCATAATTCAGTCAGGAAACATTACGAGGCACTGAATTTATCAGGAAGAAAATAACAGTAATCATAGGAACAATGTATCATCTAACGGATGGTTTGACCATTGGAATAAATTTTAATCAAATCCAGAGGACAAGAAATTATATTTTTTCTCTCTGTACACCATGTAACATGCAAAGTTAATGGATCACAACACTCTTAAACGAAGACTGCTCTCAAACAATGACAGCATATAGGAAGTAAGTTTTAATTTGTTGAAAAATAAGACATAATAGTATTCATACTTTTTTTTAAAAGATTTTATTTATTTGAAAGGAAGAGTGAGAGCAAAAGAGAAAGAGAGAGAGAAAGAGAGATTTTCCTATCTCCTGGATCACTCCGAAATGGTCACAATGGCTAGGGTTGGGCCAATCAGAAGCCAGGAGCCAGAGACTCCATTCGGGTTTCCCATGTGGGTGACAGGAACCCAAGTACCTGGGAGATCAACTGCTATTTTCCCAGGTGCATCATCAGGGAGCTAGAACAGAGGCACAGCAGCCAGAACTCGAAATGGTGCTCACATGGGATGCCAGCATCGCTTGTGGTAGCTTAATTCGCTGCGCCACAATGCTGGCACCAGTATTCACTTTTTATTTTTTTAAAGATTTTTTTATTTATTTGAATGGCAGAGTTACAGAGGGGCAGAGGCAGAGAGAGAGAGAGAGAGAGAGAGAGAGAGAGAGAGAGGGAGAGGGAGAGACAGAGATTGTCTTCTATCTGCTGGTTCACTCCCCAGATGGCCACAATGGCTGGAGCTGCACCGATCAGAAGCCAGGACCCAGGAGCTTCTTCTGTCTCTCACACTAGTGCAGAGGCCAAGGACTTGGGCCATCTTCTGCTGCTTTCCCAGGTGCATTAGCAGAAAGCTGGATTGGAAGTGGAGCAGCTGGGACTTGAACTGGCACCCATATGGGATGCTGGCATTGCAGGCAGTGGATTTACCCACTAAGCCACAGCACCAGCCCCCAGTATTCAGTTTTTAAAATCAGCTTTAAAATATTACTTTGCCTGTTGTATTCCTTGATTGTTCTTTCCACATGACTTTGTTGTTGCTCCAACTAACTGATCTGAGTTGTGTTTAAAATCCACTGAGTCAGTGATCAAACTCTTTGGGCTAGTGCCTGTGGCGAAGCATGTTAAACATCTGCCTGCAGCACTGGCATCCCATGTGGGCGCCAGTTTGGTTCCTGGCTGCTCCTTTTCCAGTCCAGCTCTCTGCTAATGGTCTGGAAAGGCAGTGGAAGATGGCCCAAGTGCTTAGGTCCCTGCACCCATATGGGAGACCTGGAAGAAGTTCCTGGCTCCTGGCTTCGGATCAGCCCAACTCCAGCTGCTGCAGTCATTTGGGGAGTGAACAAGTGGATGGAAGACCTTTCTCTCTGTCTCTCCCTCTCTCTGTAACTCTGCCTCTCCCTCTCTCTGTAACTCTGCCTCTCAAATAATCTTAAAAAAAAAAAAAAAAAAGAGAGAGAGAGAGAGAGAGAGAGAAAAGAAAAAGAAAACCAAACTATTTAAACAGTTCTTCTCAAAGACAAACATTATCTTCCAAAGTCAGAAGGAATGTTGTTTGAGAAATTGGTTCTTTAAAGCATTCTTCTGGGGTCAGTGCTGTGGCGTAGTGGGTAAAGCCACTGCCTGCAGTGCTGGCATCCCATAATGGGTGCCGGTTTGAGTCCCGGCTGCTCCACTTCCGATCCAGCTCTCTGCTATGGCCTGGGAAAGCAGTAGAAGATGGCCCAAGTCCTTGGGCCCCTGCACCCACGTGGAGACCTGGAGGAAGCTCCTGGCTCCTGGCTTCGGATTGGCCTAGCTCTGGCCATTGCAGCCATTTGGGGAGTGAACCAGCAGATGGAAAACCTCTCTCTCTCTCTGTAACTCTGCCTTTCAAATAAATAAATAAATATTTAAAAAATAAAGCATTCTAATATCAATGGTAAATTTGTATGCAAAACAAGTTAGATTGTAAAATGGATGACACCATATATTAAATACCACACAGTGAAAATAACTTACCTTGTTGGAGTTTTCTAATAAAAACTGGAATGTGTTCTGCACAGCTTGGCATGTTTCTAACTCAGTCCGGCTGAAGGCTATTAAATAATCCTTGAGGTGATCATACACATTTCCATCAAGAGCCTGTTACAGAAGAGTAAACAAAAGCAAGAAAGTATGATAATCTTTGACACATAATGCCTCCGTCACAAAAGGCAGGCATGTGCAGTCTAACATCTGTTAGCAGGAGGAAGCAGACAAGATACAGATCACTGCAAGAGGAAATACAAGCAGTTAACAATCGCTTGGGAAAATGTTGAATCTTCCTAATAAACAGAAACCAAAAAAGCTAAAATTCATTACTGGTAAAGCTGTAGGAAAATAGGACACAACTGGAGACCAAATGTCTGGCTTCTGATCTTTACTCTTCTGCTTATTAGCTTCTGCAATCACTTCCTATCAGAGGAGGTGTAGGAATTACATGAAGTAATAGATGTGAAGGCATCTAGGCATAAGGCTGGGAACAGAGTAGATACTCAAACACTAATATCCATTTTTCCTCGTCCATTATTGGTGTGTCATAAATTACTATATTCTTACTAAAGAGTCAGAGAAAAAACAGAATGTTGAAATATTAATTAGGGCCTGGTATTGTGGCACAGTGGGTTAAACTGCAGCCTGTTACACCAGCATTCCGTAGGAGTGCTGATTCAAGTCTTGGCTGCTCCACTGCCTATCCACCTCCCTGCTAACGTACCTGGGAAAGCAGCAGGTGACAGCCTGAGTGCTCGGACCCCTGTCACTGATGCTGGAGACCTTGATGGAGTTCAGATTACTGGTTTTAGCCTGGCCCAGCCCCGGCCACTGCTGCCATTTAGGGAGTTTGCCAGTGAATGGAAGCTATCTCATATATATACATTATCATATATGTATGTATTGAAGAACCTTAAAAATCAAACCAAGATGGAGTGACTTAAGCTAACACTATTAAAAACAAAAGTCACCTTTGCCCCAAATAAAATTAAAGTTTAAAAATTATAGCCCTAAACTTTTTCCCCCAAAGCTAAAATTAGGTGCAGCTATAAAAATAAGGGGCCCTATGCTTAGCTAGCTGCGACACTTCTGCCTGGCTGTGCTAAGACCTAACCCAGTTTGTATGACTCCTAATACTCAAATAACGGTGTGGGAAGCGGGATGCTGCTCTCCCTCCAGGGGAACAAAGGGAGCGAGACGTCGTCCCCCTCCGGGTGAACAAGATGACGCTGACAGGGAAAGGAACTGCTAAAGAAGTAAACAACAAAATGGCGACGAGGTGCATGCCTCCCATGTGATCCCGTAGCTGATTGGATAGAAGACGCATGCCCTTCACATGATCAGCTCACGGATTGGACTGCTGTGTGCATGCCTCCCATGTGACCCCTTAGCTGATTGGATAGAAGACGCATGCCTTTCACATGATCAGCTCACGGATTGGACTGCTGTGTGCATGGACACTATAGTGCTTTTGATTGGTCGCTGCGGGTATATAAACCATGTGGCTTTGTACTGGGGGCGCTCTCTGGACTCCCGAGTTCAGGAGGCCCGTCTGCACAGACGCCGAATAAATCCTCTTGCTTTTGCATCAGCTGGTCTGGACTCTGAGTCTTTGGGGTGTGCCTCTCGACGTGTTAGCATCCTCACTCTGAGGGTCTAACAGTATATATATTCCTCCCTAACTCTGTGTTCCAAATTAACAAAATCTCTAAAAAAATAAGATATTAATATTAAAAACAGAAAGTGACTTCAAGATTTTGTTCTGGGGAAGAAATACCAATGCAGCATCTGTGAAATGTTTTAAATAATTTCTATTTGTAGGACTCTTTAAAAATGGAAAAGAAAATAAAAAGGGGGAGAGAAAACCACTGAACACTTTTTTCCTAAAATTTCTTTTGTCTTTATCATCATCATCCTCATCATTGTTAGAAAGGCAGAGAGACGGGCCAGTGCTGTGGCGCAGTAGGCTAAGCCTCTGCCTGCAGCACTGGCCTCCTGTACGGGCACTGGTTTTGTCCTGGCTGCTCCTCTTTCAATCCAGCTCTCTGCCATGGCCTGGACAAACAACATAAGTTGGCCCAAGTGTTTGGGCCCCTGTTCCTGGATGGGAGACCTGGAAGAAGCTCCTGGCTCTGGATCCGCCCAGTTCTGGCTTTTGCAGCCATTTGAAGAGTGAAGCAGCGGATAGAAGACCTCTCTCTCTGTCTCTCCCTCTCTGTCTGTAACTCTACCTCTCAAACAAATAAAATCTTTCCTTTTTTTTTTTTTTTAAAGAAAGGCAAAGAGCTCCTATATTCTGGTTTACTCTTCAAATGCTCACAGAAACCAGGCTGGGCCAAGACCTAAGCTGAGAGCTAGGAACTTGCCAGGTCTCCCACAGGGATAGCAGTGATCCAACTACCTGAGACATCATGGCTGCCTCCCAGGGTATGCATTACTAGGAAGCTATAATCAGGAGCCAGAACCAGAACATGGTAAGATTTATTTTTATTTGAAAGGCAGAGTTATAAAGAGACATCTCCTAACTGCTGGTTCACTCCCCAAATAGCTGTAACAGCCAGGGTTAGGCCAAGCTGAAACCAGGAGCCTAGAACTCCATCTGGAGCTCCCACGTGGATGCCCAAGGACTCAGGCCATCTTCTGCTGCTTTCCCAGGTGCATTAGCAGGGAGCTGGATCAGAAGTGGAGCAGCCAAGACTTGAAAAGGCACTCAGTGGCCAGGCAGTGGCTTAACCTGCTACAACACAATGCCGGCCAAAATCACAGGTCCTAACCACTGGGCCAAATACTCCACCACAGAACATTTCAGGAATTATTAAGCTGTGATGTATATAGTCACTAAGTATGCACAGCCACCAAAATAAAAACTGTGGAAAATGTACAGATGAAGAGCATGCATCAATTATTTCAGGCTAATAAAAACCACAACAGAATAGGGGTGGCATTTGGTGCAGAGGTTAAAATCTGATACTTGCAGGAATGCCCATGTCCTACACATCGGATTGCCTCACTTTGAGCCCAGGTTCCACTTCTGATTCCAGATTCCTGCTAATGCACACCTTGGGAGGCTACAGATTTAGGCTCAAATGCTTGGGTCCTTGCCATTTCCATGGGAGACTCAGACCACAATCTGGGCTCTTGGCTTCAGCCTCGCCCAGCCCCAGCTGTTGCAGGTATTTAAACAGTGAGCCAGAAGATGAAAGACTTTTTTTTCTATATCTCACTGTGTTTCAAATAAAATGAAAAAAAGTTTTTTCAAGGCTTCTTTATAAGAAGAATGAGAACAGAATATATAATGTATATGTATATATATGTATATATATATAAAATCAACAACTGTGGGAAAATATACCTACAGTAATAATAATAGAGGTTGTGGAATCATGACAATCAAGAGAGATTTTTAAAATAAATTTTTGGAAAAATTCACCCAATGTAAAAGTCAGAATTTTAATAATCTTAAAGTGTGTAATTGAGTGGCTTTTATTACATTTACAATGCTGAAACCCCACCAATACTACCTAATTCTAGAACATTTGCAACATCCCCCCCCTAAAACTCCCATATCCATTAAGTAGTCACTTCCCATTCTCCCCTCTAGCCCCTGACAACCACCAATCTACTTTCTCTCTCTGTGGATTTGCCTACCTTGGATAATTCATATGAACTGAATTATAGAATATATGACCTTTTTGAGTCTGTCTTCTATCACTTAGCATGTGATATAAGACATCACCATGATAGCATGGTGACTCAAGCTTTACCAATGTAACTGTATTTTATTCCTTTTTTATGGCTGCATACTATTCCACTGTACTGATATACCAAGTATTGTTTATCCATTCAGCAGTTGAAGGAAATTTGTTTTTCCCATTTTTTGAAAATATACTAAGAAATGGAATCACTACATTACGTAGTAATTTTATATTTAACTATTTGGGGGAACTGCAAAACTTTTCCAAAGTGGTTGTACCATTTTATGTCCCCACCAACAATACATGATGGTTCTAATTTCTCCACAAGCTCACCAATACTTGTTTTTTCCTGTGTTTTGTGTGTGTGTGTTTGTTTTGTAATTTAAATCATGAAAGCTATTCTAGTGGATGGGAAATGGTAGCTCACTGTGGCTTTCCTGTGCATTTTTCCTGATGGCTAAAGATGTTATCCACCTCTTAAGTGCTTCTTGGTTATTTGTATATCTTCTTCGAAGAAATATTTATTCAAGTCCTTGACCCACTTCTTAATTATATTGTTGAGTTGTGAGAGTTCTTTGTATATTTGATTACCTAACTCAAGATACATGACTTGCAATAATTCTTGGTATTTTGTGGGCTATCTTCAGTTTCTTGCTAGTGATCTTTTGATGAACAAAACTTTTAAATTTTGATGCAGTCTAATTTAGCTTTTTTTATTTTGTTGCTTATGTGTTGTTGTTATATCTAAGAGTCCTCAAAAGAGAGTTTATAAATTTTTTATTTATTTTTCTCAGAGGCAGAAAGAGATGGAGAGAGCTTCAATCCACAACAGGTAAAACTGCCACTTGTGATGACAACATCTCATATCGGAATGCTGGTTTGAGTCCTGGCTGCTCTGCTTCTAATCTAGCTCCCTGTTAATGTGCCCCCAGGAAAGCAATGGAAGATGGCTCAAGTAGTTGGACCCATGTCACCTTGTGATAGACAAGGATGGAACTCCTACCTCTTGGCTTCAGCCTGGACTAGCCCTGGCTGTTGCAGTCACTTGTGGAGTGAACCAGTGGAAGGAAGATCTTTCTTTCTCTCTGTCTCTTCTTGTGTCTCTCTCTGTTACTATGCCAAATAAATAAATCTTTTTTTTTTATTTAAATTTTTTTTTTTGACAGGCAGAGTGGACAGTGAGAGAGAGAGACAGAGAGAGAAAGGTCTTCCTTTGCCGTTGGTTCACCCTCCAATGGCCGCCGCTGCAGCCGGCGCACCGCGCTGATCCGATGGCAGGAGCCAGGATCCAGGTGCTTTTCCTGGTCTCCCATGGGGTGCAGGGCCCAAGCACCTGGGGCATCCTCCACTGCACTCCCTGGCCATAGCAGAGAGCTGGCCTGGAAGAGGGGCAACCGGGACAGAATCCGGCGCCCC